AGCCCCGGGAGAAGAGAAGTCTCCAGAGACCTTACTGCACCCTTCCAATACCTTAAGGGAGCCTACAGGAAAGCTGGGGAGGGTCGTTGTGCCCGAGCTTCGCACTGGAGTGCGGCTGAGGAGCGGTCCCCAGCTGCGGACGCCCATCCGTGACCCTGGGGTGCTCACGGGGCAGAAGGACCCTCTTTGTTCATGCTCTGCCCCAGCTCCTCAGCAGCGTGTCCCCCCTCACCCCCCTTCCCAGACCAGCCCGACAACCCCAGCGAGGAGAACTGCGGCGTGATCCGCACCGAGTCCTCCGGGGGGTGGCAGAACCGCGACTGCGGCATCGCTCTGCCCTACGTCTGCAAGAAGAAGCCCAACGCCACCGCGGACCCCTTCCTGACGGGTGAGCAGGGGGAGCAGCACTGGGGTGACGGGAATGGGTGCTCCCGTATTCCAGCTGGGTGTGCTCCCATCCCGGCACAGCCAGGGCGTGCTGCCTGTGTGCCGGAGCAGCCCGTGGAGATGGCCCTTGGTGTCCCCAGCTTGCTGGTGCCCTGGATGCAGTGGCTGAGCTCCCAAGGGAAGTCGAGATGAGTGGTGCTCGGTGCAGTCACAGCTTGGGCAGTGAGGGGGGAACTGAGAGCAGCGGGAGGTCCCCCATGGTCCCCAGGGGGTGGGTTGCTCTGCTCTGCTCTGCCATCGCTCCTCTGCAGACAAAAGGGGGTTTGCTTTGTCCCCAGAGCTCTGAAGCCACCTTTGCCTGCACCTTGCCATCGTGCGGCACATTTTAGCTGTAGCTTTCCCACTGTTGCTTTGGCTTGGTCTCCTGAGCCCCCCAAGGGACTCCCTCCCTATAGTCCCGTTCCTGCCAAGGAGAGGGCTGGAGAGCAGGAGCCCTCAGGCTGCCTTGTGTCCTGCCAGACTCGTGGTCAGAGGTAAAGGTGGACTGTGAGCCCAGCTGGCAGCCCTTCCAGTCCAACTGCTACCGTCTGGTGGGAGAGAAGAAGAGCTGGCAGGAGGCAAAGAAGACCTGCCTGCGGAGCGGGGGGGACCTGGTCAGCATCCACACCCTTTCCGAGCTGGAGTTTGTCACCAAGCAGATCAAGCAAGGTAAGGGGGAGCTGTGTGTCAGCAGCATCCCTCCGGGCTGATGATGGGGACCATGGAAAGGTCACTTCTGTGTGATGCTGCAAAGTCGAATTAATCTGTGGCTGTGAAGGGAGTGGAAAGGCGAGGCTGGGAGGTGATGTGTTCCTTGGAGGAGCTGCCTTGGATCCTCTATCCAGCAAATGGAAAAGCTGTTCCCAGGAGCCTGAAGTGCTTGGGAGGAGAACACGCAGCTGCGGCTGGGAATGGCACTAGGCCCAGTTGGTTAATGTAGGAAAAGATGGGAAAAACTGGCTTTTGCCACCCCTCGTTAGGGTCACCCTCAGGCTGGGTTTTGCTGCTGCCATCCGAGTGGAGGCC